AGCCTCCTAAAATATGCCAAGCTTATCTCGCCTCATGACAAGCTCTCAAACCATGTTAAAGAACTTGTTCAAGGTATTATCGAGGGGGAGACTCGTGTCCTGGCAGCCTCGATGACTATGGAAGAGGTTTTTCGAGGGGCTAAAGAGTTTAAACAAGAAGTATTTGAGAAAGTACAGCTTGAACTTAACCAGTTTGGGCTGTTAATCTATAATGCCAATGTTAAACAACTTGTGGATGTGCCTGGTCATGAGTACTTCTCTTACTTGGGTCAAAAAACTCAGATGGAAGCAGCAAACCAGGCAAAAGTTGACGTCTCTGAAGCCAAAATGAAGGGAGAGATTGGTTCAAAGCTTCGAGAAGGGCAAACGCTTCAAAATGCTGCAAAAATTGATGCAGAAACCAAGATTATATCAACCCAAAGGCAGGGAGAAGGCAAAAAACAAGAAATCCAGGTGAGGACTGATGTGAAGGTGTTTGAGAATCAGAAGGAGGCTGAGGTGGCGGAGGCGAATGCAGAGTTGGCAAAGAAGAAAGCTGGATGGGCTAAGGAGTCACAAGTGGCCGAGGTCGAGGCTTCAAAAGCAGTGGCACTTAGGGACGCAGAGCTGCAGAGGGAGGTCGAGAGGATGAATGCATTGACACGGACAGAGAAGCTCAAGGCTGAGTTTTTAAGCAAAGCCAGTGTCGAGTACGAAACCAAGGTATACATACTTGTTGCACAATTCTTGTTTGAGAATCAATTCCTTTGCTTTCTAGCTGTTTATGAATTATGAAACAATTATTCTGTATTTATCTTCCCAAAGGTTCAAGAAGCAAATTGGGAGCTCTACAAGAAACAGAAAGCTGCAGAAGCATATCTATATGAAAAGGAGAAAGAAGCACAAGCGCAGAAAGCAGCAGCCGAGGCTACTTTTTATCAGCGCCAACAAATCGTAGATGGAGAATTGTATGCAAAGAAGAAGGAAGCAGAAGGACTAATAGCCATAGCAGAAGCTCAAGGAATTTATCTACGCACACTCCTTGACTCGTTGGGAGGGAATTATGCAGCCCTAAGGGATTACTTGATGATCAGTGGTGGAATGTTTCAAGAAATGGCCAAGATTAATGCCGAGGCTGTGCGTGGACTACAGCCCAAAATCAGCATTTGGACAAATGGAGGCAGAGAGGCAGCCGATGGAGCAGGAGGTGGAAATAACGCCATGAAAGAAATTAGCGGTGTTTACAAAATGTTGCCACCATTGTTTAAGACTGTGAATGAGCAAACTGGGATGTTGCCACCAGCATGGATGGGCACCTTGGCTGACTCTGCTCACTCTACCAGGGATTGATACGATGCCAAAAGATAAAGAATTTATTTTAAGAGTCTTTCTAACTATATAAAATTTCTATTAGGCTATTTTTCCTGTTATAT